CTGGAACTCTTCTTCACAGGTATATGCGTTGTTGGGGACTAACTGGATTGGGTGCACTATGGCTTACCTTCCAGTAGGGGGCACCCTGCCCCAGAACAGTCTACATATGACGTGGGGTCTGGCAACATCTATAGGACTTCTAACAGTGGAAGGTCTCTGAGTGAGGGTGTGACTTTGTAGATTCCGGGAGCCTCCAGCTCAGTGGCTGGTAGCAGTCTCTTCTTCCATTGAGCTAAGTCAGGCCTGCCGAGTCAGCACAGCTGAGCTCCCAAAAGAGAGGAGGAAAAGAGCCTCCAGAGTCTTCTGAATTTAATTCTCTTCAAAAGCCTGGAGATGTAATTAGAAAACAACTCAATAATCTTTGAGAGACACTGAAAGGGCCAGTCCCAGAAGACTGAGCACAAGCGCTATTCAAAACAGGGGATTGAGGTAGAAAGTGGAGAAACACTGTGTTTCATACACATTAGACTGGTGAACTTGACTAGGTTTTCTGTAAATTTCTGGAGTAGAGGCTTGATACATGGTTGTGAGCATTTATGAAGGGAAGGGCAATGGCTCACCTAGCACAAATCATACGTAACCACTCTTGGAAAATGCCACAAGTCATAGCTGTTGTGATTTTTGTAAGGGATTTGATGAAGGGCATCATAATGCCTGTCTTGTTGGCAAGATGAGAAAATACTCCTTCAATCTGAGGATCCAAAAAGTATTGATTAATGGGTTGATATCAATGAGAGGATGATCTTTCATGGGTATGATTGTAAAAATGTACTTGCATTGGTTAAACTAATGATTCCTGGTAACCCATTCAGACTGTATTGTTCATGTCATTAGTTATATGCCAGATAAAGTTTTCATTATGAAAGTAAATTATTCTAGCAAACTTTGAGTTTTAGGTTCCTGAGTGCTTGATTGCATCCTCAGTATTTTGGGTTATTGCTCATGTAGGCTGATCAGTACCTTACAATTTAAAATAATTAATCCAAAACTTTGTGGTATGCTACTTGATTTTCAGCATTGTCATACCCTGTACCTCTTTTGCACAAAGCAAAAATAAATATACTTCCAGAACCTACAAGGAGAAAAGAGAAACTATGGGCATTATTTTTAGCCTCATTATAATGCTAACTGGAAATAATGACACCATTCTGTAATGGCCCCAACTTAAGTGAGTGCTTACTGTGTACCAGAGACTAAGTTTAGCGCTTTAACTGCATTATTAATCTTTATGATAACACTATGAAATGACTACTGTTCTCTCTATTTTACAGTCAAGGAAAGTGAGGCTCAGAATTTATATAGTTTTCAGGGTCATGCCACTATGAAGTGACAGAACTGGAATTCCAAAGCAGTTGGTGACAAGCCAGGACCGTTTCCGGTCCCGTGACTCCCATTGCCCTGTTCTTTCCACTGTATTCATGCCTTACTAGTTCTCCTTCCTTAACATTTCTCTTTCATTTACTTCGTTCTTTTCCTGTCTTCTCCCTCACTGTCACTTCTTTGGTTCCCTCTGCTCTGTCTCTCAGTGGCCTCCTAAGCACTGAGCCCTTGGCCGCCAGTCTCATCCCTTTTTTCAGTGCACCCTCTACCCTAACATTTGTGTCAAGCTCTTTGTTACACGATGAGTATGTAATTTCACCGATTTCCTGTTAGGTCCCCTCATTCATCCAGAAAAGTGACCTCTGGTCAGAAATCAAGTACATTGGTTAAACTGGGAATGTAGTTCAGTTCAAAACAAAACAAAACAAAACAAAAAAACCTGGCTGGTGTGGCTCAGTGGATTGAGCACCAGCCTGTGAACCAAAGGGTGACTGGTTTGATTCCCAGTCAAGGCACATGCCTGGGTTGCGGGCCAGGTCCCCAGGAGGGGGATATGTGAGGGACAACCACACACTGATGTTTCTCTTCCTCTCTTTCTCCCTCACTTCTGCTCTCTCTAAAAATAAGTAAATAAAATCTTTTTTTAAAAAGCCTTCAAATGAGGGCCTGAGCTATTTCAAAGGAAAAGGCAGGAATAACCCACTCAAAATTGTTGGATCTGTACACTGGGTCGCTCTGGTGTACTGCCTCCCAGTCCAGGCACCCAGCTCACTGAAGGCAGAGTAGATCACAGGAATTCTACCTAAAGTTGTGCCAACAGGCATGGGTGTACGCACTGTGAGCGTCCTACGGGGCTTGTCTCATTGCTCCTCTGTGCCTCTGCTCCTCACCCCTGTGATCTACTTCTGTTTTCCTGAACACTTCACTCTAATAGGATGAGTAGGACCACAGTTTGAAGAAGTGTATAGTGAGTGCCAGTTCCCCTTTGGACAGGATAGCCATTATCCAGTCAAGGTCCTGGCCAGGGCCAGATTCAGGCTATAATGCGACTGGCCAGCCTCCTGTTGGGTGGCCTCTTGGCTGTGAGGACCATTAAGTACCCAGTTGACCTGCATGAGAATATATTAATAATATATAAATCTGCGTACCAGAAATAAATTTTCATCCCATGTCTTGGCCTTTAGTGAACTGGGTGCTTAGATTTAGAGTTAGTATACCAAAGGGTGTAGTACATAGATCTAGAAACACATGATAATCTGTTTTCTTGCCTTCTAGAGGCTACTTGCATTCCTTGGCTTGAGGCCTCTTCCTCTGCCTTCAAGGCGAGTTCACTTAGTATCTTCATACCTCTTTTTCTCTCTCACCTCTACTTCTGTCCTTGGCTTCTTTCCTGATTCTCCTATAAAAAAGGCAAAGCTGAAGAAAGTGTATACAGTGGCTTACAGAGATTCAGGTTTAAGAGGGATTGGCTATAAAAGGGCATGAGGAACACTTTTTGGGTTGATGGAAATGTTCTATATCTTGATTTTAGTGGTGGTTATGAAACTGTATACATTCGTCAAAATTTACTGAATTATATGTGTAAAGTTGGTGAGTTTTATTGTGTCTAAATTATAGATCAGTAAAGCTGATACAGAAAAAAAGAAGAAAAATGGGTAGGAATTTCAGGGAATTAAAAAATTCTCCTAATAAATTGTTAGAGGATTTTCCCTGCTGTTTTATCAGATCATAAGTAATAAGATACAGGGGAATATATTGTGTTTTCCTCCCTCATTGGGGTATATGAATATGTTTGGTAACTGCAAACAATATATAATGAGTTGAGGGTCCATAAAATTACTTGAATGTTGCCCTAGTGAGGATATGATGAACAATCAATATTCCCAAAGACAGAAGAAAGAAGACTGTGCTGTTTCCTGAAGTTGTCTTTTTGGATTCAGTGTTGCTTACTTCCCACCCAGACAGGTGATTCTGTTGTGATATTCTGTTGCACCTTTGATGTCAACTTATTTTCCGCTTCAAATTGTTAAAATAACGTAAGCTTAAAAAAAGTAATGTAAGGTTGAAGAAAGTACTACATCTACATTTTTTCTCATTGACTTTATTCTGTACTTTTTTCGTCAGATTTATTCTCATTAATCTCTCTCTCTGATATTTGATCTAATTATTATTTCCTCCTTCTCAAAAGCCTCTTTCTCCCTTGGTCTCTGGAAAGACTACAGTCTAGTGATTTTCTTCCGCCTCCAGAAATGATTTTGTTACCTCTTTGGCTGGTGTATCTTTGTCTGTAGGTCCTTTATGAGAACACAGCCCATTGCCCCATTTCCAAGCTTTTCGCCTGGGATATCTTATCCTTTCCTGTGATTAATCCATTCTGGTCCATCTGAAATCTTCTGTCCTCTGTTAAGCCTTGTCTCTTATTTCCAGCTACTTTAGGGTACTGTCATCATCCTTTTTTCCAGCTGTTGACCAAACTAAATGTATTGCCTTTCGTTCGATGTCCTCTCCCATTCTGCGTGCTCCACGGCTGTGGGGCGCTGCTGTTCTTCCTGCTCTGCCATTGCCCTTTCCGCTGTCTCCTCTACTCCGTTACTGTTCAGATCTTTTCCATTTCCTGGGGGTCGTCTCCCTTCCTTGTAGGTCATTTTCATAACCACTTTAACCTGTGTCCTTACTGTCAGAGGCCACATGGAACATTTAAGACATTCTTGAGCAAAAGCTGCTGGTATGAGTGATGAAGAGGGTTTCACAATTTGGGGAGCCCCTTTGCCACCAAATCCCTGTGTCCAAACCCTACTAAATGACCGACTCTCACTAGGGTTCAGAGCTTGACCATACTCTTACAGCAAACCTCTGGGGATGCTTTGGAAAAACTTGATGTTTCCTTTTGCATGTTCAGTGTCACCGTTGCTGCCATGGCCTCGTTTTTCCCAGTGCAGATAGCTTTTCCTTTCGTCGTGAGTATACGAGCGCACCTCCCCGGTGCCCTCCAGAGTCAGAATCCTGGTTTTGTAACTGTGCGATAACCTTGTAGTGACTGAAGACTTGCTGCCTTTGTGCTCTCTCTGAGCAGTTCCTTATTTCTCCTCCCTACACACTATTACCTTAATAATTTTCTAATGAAAGGCATAAATGAAGTGGCTGAGATTGCAGATTTTTATGGACTTCAGTCCTATTAACCACTGAATGTGTGTCTCTTTTTACCCCTCTTTTATTTTCATCTCTGATTTTACTTTAGAGTTAATAGAGTTATGCTGTCCCTTACTTGCTCTTCCCAGAGGGGAGGGCTGGCTCCAGCCTGAAGGTCTCAGAGTCTAACGATATTCTCAGAAATACGATATTCACACTTAATTTTTTTTTCATCTATTTTGGCAGTAAAAGAACTGCTTTAGAAGTGAAAAGTTGATGAATTATTTCAGCGACTAGGGTATTTAAAAGTGATTTATTTATCTTCTCATTAGAAAGAAATGTATAGTTTAGAAAACATATTTCTGCATTTTAAAATGTGGTCTTTATATTTCTGTAATAAACAAAATAAAAGCAGCATTCCCAGGCATTGGTAAAATTGAAGCTGTTATTTGATTTGTAACGAAGTAGCCAGAAGCCTAGAAATAGTGATTTTTCTGAATCGCAGTATGCCATGTGTATTTACCTTCGCTTTTTATCCTTGGGCATTCTAGAGGGGTGTTTGATGCTTCCCTCAAAATGGCTGGCTTTTATGGACTGTACACCTGGCTGACTCATACTATATTTGGCATCAATATTGTCTTCATACCATCAGGTAACAACTGTATCATAACTTGCACCACCCTCTGTTTCAGAAAAGTTAAGCCATTTTACATACATTGAGAAAGCTCATTTTCCTCAAATTTAAACTACTGCATTTTGAGATCAAATCTAGTCCAGATTAGGAGCAGAAATATGACTTGTAGTGTTGAGTTATTTCTGTATCCCTAGTAGCTAGAGCAATACCCAGCACATAGAAAGCACTGCATAAGTATTTGTTAAATGAATGAATGCCCCATCACTAAGCACAACACCTAGCACATAATTGGCACTCAGTAAACGTTAGAATCAAATTGATTGGCAGGGAGCAATGAGTTGGCCAAATAGCTTTGTCCCATGAAGGAGACTGTCCCATGGGCAAGATGAGTGCTTCTGAGGGCTCACAAACTCCCTCCACACCTCTTGAGGTCTGTTCTGATAATACGTGCACAAGGATGGTTTAATGACTTTTTTTTACTATTACTCTGTTATCTCTGCTCCTCTCCTTTCATTTTATTCCTTTATTTCTGTGGCCGCGTGTCTTCCTAAATATATCTGCGTTCCACATTTGCCTCTACCGCCATTTTTTTTCCTCTTTGGTCTGTGCTCCTGCCTTTCTTTACATTCCAAAGGTCATTCAGGTTCTGTCCTACTTTCTTGTCCACAAAGCCACCCTCTGACATGCAAGTACCCTCAGAGCCCCTGAGGTGGTTTCATGAGTGTCCTGCGAGGCAAGCAGGAGGTCCTTGTTGCATAGATGAGAAACAGAAGTTTTCCAAAGTCACAGACCTGGTTAATAGAATCCACTTCTGCTTGACTCTAAGGAGAGCCAAACTCTATGTAGTGCACTGTAACATAATGTTCTGGAAGGGGACAAGCTTGAGTTAGGTCCTTCGACTACCTGGGTTTTTGTTATTTTTAAATTACATTTCATTTTTTATTAGAAAGAATCAAGGTAAAGAATATGTAGTCATATCTGAGCTAAAGAGACTAATTTCTGATTTGGCTTTGGGCTCTGCAAATTTTGACCAATGTTCTATAGTTACATTATAAGACTATATATTAACTAATCATTGATTCAAAATAACAGCTGCAAGTTATGAAAATTTTCTTGCTAAAAATTAGATTCATGAAGCAGACACACACTTTAGAAAGATTTTCAATATCAAATTTTAAGATACTGAACCTTCATTTAACTAGCAAAGTCAGTTCAGCAAGGGCACATCATTCCCCAAAAATTTGAGTTGGTATTTAACTTGCTTGATGGAGATTTTTGAGTAAGAGGAGCTAGTGCCTAGGTTCTGTGGTTTTGTTACTGTTTTGAAGACGATGTTCAGTTGCGTTTCCTAATTAATCTTTCACTAGCTCTAGCAGCCATCCTTGGAGCAGTGCCCTTTCTGGGGACGTACTGGGCAGCGATCCCTGCAGTTCTGGACCTGTGGCTTACACAAGGCTTGGGATGCAAAGCTGTCCTACTGCTGGTTTTTCATCTCTTGCCCACATACTTTGTCGACACTGCCATCTATTCTGATATATCAGGGTAAGTGTCCCACGGAACTGCTGGTGAACCACATCCAGGGATTTCTGTGTCCTTTTATAAAGGAGGTTTTTCTTTTTCTTTTGGAGATGGACGGAAGGACAGGTGGTAGAAGTTTTTAGTGAAGTAGCCTTCTGTGATCCCACTGATATAACCAAAGTTTAATTTACTATAATTAATATCATTTGGAAGATATTTTGGTATATGCCTTATTTATGATATATGAGACCATGGGTTAAAATAAAGTTGTGAATAATCATCTGATTTAGTGACATTTAATCTAGAAAGAAATACTACTAGATGTATGTGAAATATTTAATGTAATGAGTTAGTGATTATTTTCAGAACTTCTTTGCTTTTGGAGAAAAACATTATTAGGTTATATGTCTGGCAATTTCCATGTAAAATCAAATCTCATCAAGCTAATATATGACAAACAGAGCTCTCAAGATACTGTATAGTATGATTCTTTGCTGAGTACAAGTTAAATATAAGGCAGAAGCCAAACTTTGGCCAAGTAATATAAAAAATAAATATATATTTTTGTAGGTTTTGATATTTCTTTTAGAAATTGCATTAAACCAAGCCAGTTCTCCTTCAGTTACATATTCAGATTCACATTGCTTATTAAAATCTAGGATGTAACCAAATGTTGAATTTTGATCAGCTTCTCACATTCAGGGTATAGCCTCCTGAAGCTATCATAATAACATACTAAGTTTTCTTTAAGTAACCCAGCATCACAGTAAGGGTAGCTGGGGTCCAAGTTTATAGAAAGAGTACACCTTTCAGTTAATTTGAAATTATGTAAGGACAACTTGTATGTCACTTGTTTTCTCTGTAGTAAGTTAAAATAGAAAACAAATGATGTAGAACTACTCTGAAACCCCAGAAATCCAGAGCAAAAAGCAACAAGCAACTCCTTGAAACAGCCTTATTTATAGGAGCTTTTATGCCTGATACTTGAGGGAGAAAGTTAAGGGTTAAAGGAGAACATCAGAGTGTGGTTGAATAGTGCTTAACAGTTGAAATTTAAAAAGTAGGAATAGGTACACAGTTTATAGCTAAGTGCTTTCATTTCTTTAAACTTTATTGCACATTTTATATAAGGTTTCTAGGTAAAATTTAAGATTTATATGTGGTTTTCTTAATAAAATAATACCTTACTTAACTAGCATACTTAAGACATGAAAGGTTTTGTGTAAATTGTTTTACTTTTTAATAAATTAGGCTTTTATTTAAAAGCTCTCATATTTTTTTAAGCCGTATGGAATATTGCCCTGGATCCTTTCTCAGAATAAGGAAGACAAATAAATATAATGTGTTGGTTTTCTGAAGACTGGCTTACCTTAAATATTACTTATTGAACTATAATATAATACAAAACATCCTTCCAAGTCTTTGTTATTTGCCCCTCACTAAATTGCAGTCATGTGGTTTAAAAACTAGAAACAACCAGAAGCATACCCTTTCCCAAGTCCCCCTGGTGTCAGTGGCCATTGTTACCGTGAGCTGTGAGCTGGGCTGCTGTCGCGTATCGTAGTTCACCCAGTGGTGTGAGTGATACTGTGATAAGCTGGAGGGCAGTGATGACTCGCGTGCAGTCAGACATGGAGTTTTGTGACAGATGTTTTCCTCGTGAGGACTTTTTATCACTACCTACGTGAAAAATTTCATTTTAGGGGGTTCCCAGGAGTCTAATGTATGAGTAGCAGGGATGCCGGTATATTGTCAACTTTAAAAAAGCATAATTGATTAATTACATGCTAAATTGGGCCCACTTAATGATTCTTGATGGAGGTAGACCTAACCCATGACTGATACAATCCAATCCTAAGCCAACATTAACCCACTTCAGGCAACACCATAATGGGTGCAGGTACCAGTTAATATTACTGACTTCACTGCTTCAGTCGTTGGACCTATGTACAAGGTGAATGTCAGATATGTTATGTTCAGTTATCCACACTGAGATTAAGCTAAAGAAAGCTGATAATGTAGTCTAAAGCCTGAGTATTAGAAAATGAACATTGTGTTAGAGAATGTGTTTCAGATTTACTCCTGGGTTTATGTTTGTTAAAAGTCATGAGCTAATCTGTGCCCTTTATTGCAGAGGTGGCCACCCTTACTTGACCGGCTTGGCCGTGGCTGGCGGAGCATACTACCTGGGCCTTGAAGGAGCAATCATCGGGCCCATACTTCTCTGCATACTTGTGGTTGCTTCCAATATCTATAGTGCCATGCTTGTGAGTCCCACGAATTCAGTGCCCACGCCAAGCCAGACGCCGTGGCCTGCTCACACTCAGCGGTGAGTTAAAACAGAATATGACCTTAAACTTTGAGATGAACTACCCTGTCTCTGTCTTGACCTGAGTATTCTGTCAGGATACAGGTACTTCAGTGCTTACACTCTGTTAAAGATTGTAGTAGACATTAGTAAAGTGAAATCATTGGATTTTGTATACCAGGAACAGTTGAAAACTAAATTGGGTCAGAATTGTTAATGTCGTGAATGAGCAAAAATAAATGAAAAATATGAAAGACTGTTTGGGGGCATGATATGCCAGAATAAAGGAGACAGAGGTGCAGGATCATCAAATGCAATGCATGAGTATAATAGGATCTTGGATTTGAAATGGGAAGAAGCTATAAAGAACATTTCTGGAACAATTGGAGGCATTTGAATGTGGACCATATATTAAGTAATATCGTTATACCAATGTTAAATTTCTTAGGTATGATAATAATACTTTGATTATGTGGCAGAATATCCTATAGAGGTGAGATGTCATGATGTCTACAACTTATTTTCAAATAGTTCAGCCAAAACTGAGATAGGGAGAAAGTGACTAGAAAAATGTTAACAGTTGGTGAATCTAGATGGAAGGATATCTGGTTGTTAATTGTACTAGTCTTTCTGACAGTCAGGTTTATACTTTTTCAGAACAGAAAGTTGGGGAAAATTATTTGAGTGCACCTGTATGGAGTTACAAGTTGTTATTTTGCAAATACAGACATTTAAATCATAATTTTCTGGGTGATTTCCCCTACTTTATCATCTAAAACTTCCTTAGAAGTTTCCATGTCTGCTATCATATATTTTTAAGTCTGGTTTATTGAGGTGTATTATTTTTTTTTTTTAAAGATTTTATTTACTTATTTTTAGAGCGGGGAAGAGAGGGAGAAAGAGAGAGAAAGAAACATCAATATGTGGTTGCATTTCGTGTGCCCCCTGCCAGGGACCTGGCCTGCAACCCAGGCATGTGCCCCGCACTGGGAATCAAACCTTTGACCCTTTGGTTCGCAGGCCAGCACTCAATACACTGAGGCACACCATCCAGGGCTATTGAGGTACTATTTATGTAAATAAAATTACCTTTTTTGGTATACAGGTTTATATCAGTTTTCTGTGATCCATAACAAATTACCACTAAGTTAGTGGCATAAAGCAATATACATTTATTACATTCATCTCCGTGGGTTAGGAGACCAGGCGCATTTCAGCTTGATCTTCTGCTTAGGATCTGACAAGGCCGCAGTCAAGGTGTCAGCTGCAGCTGGGGTTTTACCTGTGGCTTGGGGTCCTCTTCTAAGCTTGCTTCTTCTTATTATCAGAATTCATTTCCTTGCAGTTGTAGAACGGAGGCTTGTAGGTCCTGAAGGCTCCCCCACAGGGCCATTCATACATGGATGTATGCTTCTTTAAGGCCCGCTAGCGAGTATTTTTCTGACATCTGTCTCTGCTAAAACCCTTTTTTAAAGGGCCCCCCTGATTAAGCCTGGCCCACCCAGTATGTTTTTCTTTTGATTAAAATCTGCTGATTAGTGACCTTAATTATATCTGTAAAATCCCTTCATTTTTATCATATTAACAATATAATTATATCAGAAATCAGATATGTTGGGCTCTTGGCTCATAATAAGAGACCCTCGCTTAAGAGCTGTGGGTAGGTTGTATGTGTTACTGTAACACCATCTGGCAGGGCCATTGTCTTGTGCAACCTTCCATGTGAGTGCTTTTTGGTTCCCCTTTGGGGCTAGTAAATTCCTCAGAGAAAGATCTTATAATCTCCTGCCTAGAGGCTGATGGCTTGGCTGCCGACATCCTGGAAGCAAAGGCGGGGAAAGGGACTGGACCTTGTTCAAGACATAAACATTCACTTAATCACCCACTGTCAGCATGCTTCCCCGCCCTCATCTCTTCCTGTTGTTTCCTAGGCCAGAGACTTTTTGTCTTTCCTTCTCTAGACAAGGGGAAACTCATTTTCTGCCAAGGATCGGGGCAGTTGCTTGGCTGGGTGGAGGTGGGTGAGGATGCTGGAGCAATGGGTCTTGCTGCTTTTGAAGCAGACTTTAAAGTGGTTCTGTGTGTAGCCCCACCTTCAGCCGCACCTCAGAGCTACTTCATGTCGCCAGTTCCTGAGCCTCCTGGGGGACTTTGCTGACTCTCCCGTGCTGACGTTAGATGGCTTTTGGCTTTTCCCACTGCTGGCCCGGGGTTCTGCTTTTTAGGGTGCACTGGGACATAGCAGTTGTCCCTCTGCTGTCCGCCTTCTAAAAGTTTGTTGCTCTTACCTCTTAAGTGCTCTTTGGTTTCCTTTTTTTCAGGTAGATTTATGACTTTAAAAAAACCCACGTATACTGGCATTCTAATGGGGTTTTGAGAGGGCCTAAAGGAAATGTGCGTTGAATACATCCCTCTTTAGTGGGAAGTCTAAATGACATCTTAAATAGTCATAAACACAACCACCAGTGGTGTTTATTGGGACTTGCTTGTGTGCCAATCTCTGTGATAAATTTTACATCCATGATCCTATTTTACTTAACCTGTCCAGTGTTTTCATGAGATTAGGAACGGTGGTTTTTCACATTTTGTAGGTGAGAAAATCAAGGCTTCAAGAGGATAACTTGCTTGTAGTCACTTAGTTAAAAGACAAGTGAGCTGGTGTGTTTCAGCTAAAGATCTTGCTTTTTCTTCACAAACCACCCCTTCCCCAATTGAAAAAACACTCTCCTGCCCTTGCTGGCATGGTTCAGTCGGTTAGAGTGTTGTCCTATAAACCGAAAGGTTGTAGGCTCGATTTCTAGCAACATGCCTAGGTCACATACCTAGGTTGCGGGTTTGGTCCCTGGTCTGGGTGCCTGCGAGAGGTAACAACCAGTTGACGCCTCTCTCTCACATAGGTGTCTCTCCCCCCGCCCGCCCCCCCCACCCCCCGGCCTTTCTACCCTCCGCCACCCCCCCCCCCCCCCGCCCCCGGTCTCTAAAATCAATAAGCGTCCTTGAGTGAGGATTTAAAAACAAAAAACAAAAAAAAACTCCTTCGTCAGTAAATGCTCCTCTCCACTTACATGTGTCACTCATTGTGTGCTAACCCTTATACTTCCCATCTTCCCATTCACCATCCTTCCCTCAAATCTGTCCTTGCCTCCTCCTCCTAGTGCCTCCCTTGGCCTAAGCTGCGTGCCGGTGCTGGGTTTCTCGCCTGGACTGCCCTGGTCACCTTATTACTCGCTGCTCGCTGAGCCTCTGCTCTTTGTACTCCAGGCCGTTCTCCGGTTCAGGATGGAGGCACATCCCACTGTGGTGGTTTTACCAAAACCGGCCTCCCATTGGTTTGAGGAGGAAGATGAAAATCCTCGATGTGGCTAAGGCGGCCCTCCCTGGCCTGACCCGGCCTGCCTCGCTGGAGCTAAGACATTCCCCCACGCCCTCCGAGCTGCGGCCCCAGGCCCCGCTCCACCCCTGGGCCCTCGTCCATGCTGCTTTCTCCCTGTGGACGGTGTTCCCATCCACCAGTGTTCCTTGCTTAATTAACCTCAATCATTCTTTAGATCCCAGAGCAAATGTCAGCTCATCAGAGAAGCCTCCTTTATGCCCCAAATTAGGTTACGTCCTTCCTGCTAGTTTAATACTCTTACTCTGGACAGCACCTTGTAGCTCTCCTCTGTAGTACACGTCTCAGTTATCCTCTTGATTGCGTGTCTGTCTTGTCTTTTCCCACTTGGCTGTGGCTGCTGTTACTGCAGGGCCATGTCAGTTTTCGTTACTGATGTATCCACAGAGCCTGTCAACAGTGTTTTGTGCTTGGAACGTGTTCAATTCCTAGTTGAAGGAACTAATGGGCTGTGAGGGAATAGTCTCTACAGAGGCATCGGCTGTGGAAGGACTCAGCTTGGCTTGGGAACTGATGTTGTTACAGTGTGATAATGGAGGCTGGGTGGTGCGCCTCGTTAGGCAGGCCTAACCCTCTAATTGCTGACGGGGCCCTGGTGGCCTTGCAGACCCGCTCGCAAGCCTCTTTCAGGGCACCACCATCCATCTTCAGACAGGCGATCAGCGTTCCTCCCAGGGAGAGGTGAAGGAGGGCGGCCCCCTGTCCGCAGTGGTGGGTGCAGCATTTGGTGGTGGTCAATGTTGTGGACACAGCACAGCCTCAGGCGCCCTGCGGTTTGGGGCTGATTCTGTTTACACTGGGGTTGTTGGAAGTGGGAGGAAGGACAAAACACTCCTGCGATCACGCGGCTTAGAGTACTTTCTGGATATTTGGACAGGGTAATCAGACTTGATTTGTTGTACTTACCCCATTGCCACCAAAAACTGAGCAGCAGTCCCTGAATAGGAAAGCTCAGAAAACCCCAGAAGGAGGAAGGAGACTGGCCCAGGGACTCTTCCCTTAGGACAGTTCTCTGCATTAGTTTTCTTTTGCCCTCGGTCACACCTTGACACTACCAAAGGTGACCGTCGAATGTGGTCCTTTAGGAACTCAGCTTTATCTTTCTCTAAAAAAGAGATACTAATAACTTATCGGTATTTTGAGAAGAAAATTTTTTTTTTGGTTTTTGCAAAATGAGATACGGAGATGTTCTCCAAAGATGACAGTGTTTTTGGAGAACCTGCAGTCCTTTCCATTAACCTTAGAATATGTGTTGGAGTGTACTTCCCATCGTCCTGGTTTGGAATAAAGAGGGGGGAAAGAGAAACCTGGAGCTGGGCAGGGAGCTGCTGGACTCAGCCTCTGTTGACTGTTGCCTCCTCTTTGGCTCTGTTGCTGATAAGTTTCTTGAATGTGTTCATTCGTCTGTATTTCCAGTGGGTGACCCCGCGCTGGGATTATTTCAGTAGCCTCCTCACCGGTCCCTGCCCCTCTAGTCCTGCTTCCTCCAGTCTGCTCTCCATCGTGCAGCGAGGGAGACCAATGTTCTGCCACCCCAACATACGCCTTTTGGGATATTGACTTTTAAGCTGGTTGTTAATAAACAAGAGACTCAGAAAGAACCTTGGGCCTCCCCCCTTGCCTGCCTAAA